CTCAATAACACTATAGCTACGAAAACATTACTAAATGAATTACAATCGCATGGCGTGTCTTTTCCCATAGAACTAATCTCCCTCCTGGCACTTGATAAAGAGCCAATATGTAGAAGCTTACTGAACTTTTTAAAGAATAGTAAATTAAGAATTTAAAAATATATACTTCGCGTCCGTTTGTGACCATCCATTGTTTGCCCTCCTATGCAACCGAGGTCTGAGTCTGTGTTTTGTGTCTTGAAAGAAGTCATTGTGAGGGACACCACAATGTGAAATTTTGTGCTCCTGTTTACTCATATTCCTGAAATCCCATCTTATTCGCGATAAAATAAACATTCAAACCAATCAGATAATAAGGCCCATGGGCTAGATCCCGAATAGCCTTAATTAAATTAAAAAAAAAAAAAAGTTAATTTTAAAAGGTTTTTTGTCTTTCATATAAAATTATACTATTCTAAATACATAAAGTATCGTTAGATTTATTCACAATGGTAAAATGATTGCAGGGATTTTATAAAAACTTGTAATAACGTTTCCTCCATTTTGCGTCATTTGTAGATACGGCATCTGTTCCTAGGACGGCAGAATACCCGCGATCTGCTGACGCTAGCTGGTGAATGGTCATCTCCTTTTAACATGATTTATTATAAGTAGTAAGCGCTACTTGCTAGTCTGTGGTACCAATAACGTGGACATTCGCCAAAAATTACTACAAGAAGATTTGGAAAAGGCACTGAAATTATGTTCCATCGTAGAACAATCAAAGAGGTATGCAAAGAAGATTGAAGGCTTTGCGAATATCACAGAACGAGATCAACAGACCTCAGTGAACCAGATCAACAGACCAACCCAAAGGACAAATCGATACCAACATCTATGCCTTCATCGTCTAACTACAGGAGGCCGAGACCAGGGTCAACGAGTAGAAGATCATCCTCAAGTGACCAGCGTACATCAGGTGAAAAACTTAACAATTGCACTCGCTGTGGAAATATATACATATACAGTGAATTTTTTTTAAATGCGAACATAGGATTTTGCATGCAATGTAATTTCCCTATGTTCGAAAAACACATCAATCGATTGAGTAGTTCAAATGAGTAGTAGATACAATTGACAGCTGTCATTTTTAAAAATACCGCCGTCCAATTTAATTACGAAATCGGTTAGGTTAATGCTTAGAATGTCAAGGACAAGGAGGACACTTCGAACATTTATTGTAATTGTTTTCGTTATTTATTTTCTTCATTTATGTATTGAATAGATCAAATTAGTAGAATATACCAGGTGCACATGACCTATACAAATAATTGAAGGTTGGTTCACAATGTGTTGTGGTGTCAGCGCGTGCCCTGTGAGGTCAAGTTATCGTAAGTTTAAGAAAAATGTATCCTAAAGTTGCTATGGCCTCACATGGCTTCTTTAAAAAAATCTTACCGAGTGCTCTTCATAAAGACTATGAGTTGCTGTTCATAGTCACACAAGTTGGGCGATTTGGGAATGTGAACCGCGAACACCTCATAGATTGATGTGTTTTTTTTTTAAATCGAACATAGGGAAATTACATTGCATGCAAACTCCTATGTTCGCATTAAAAAAAATAATTCAATATATATATATATATATATATATATATATATATAATGTTTTCTTCATTTTTGAGGAGGTTGATCATCGATTGACTCTTCTTCGTCCTCACGCTCTAAATCTTGCTCAGACTCTGAATCTTCTTCGCGCTCCTCAACATGGTCCTCTTCTTCAAAATCTTCGTCATCATCCATATGTAAATTGTTCATCATTTAATTCATCTTGTAACTCTTCCCACAATTTTAAAAGATTTGACTGGCCACGTTGGTAATGAGTCATGCTTACCGCAAGGGAAATAAGGTTACACGATATAACAGCCAGAAATTATGTACGCCTTCAAGCACCCACTCACGTCAAGGTTATGAACCTCGTATAACAAAGTATGTAAAGTTACAAGTAAATACTTTGGCAAATAATCAAAAATAGACACGTATGCTCGCTGCCTTCAATAAACACAATCACTTACGTTGATACTATCATCGGTCTGTGACACCAAAATGCATAAAATTACAAGAAAACAAATTCCGAAAGAGCACTACTTAACTTGAGAATAGCAAACACGGCAAGAAATTGGGAGGGGGCGTTCGGTACATATGCGATAAAGAGTGGGGTGTCGGTCCGCTAGACCGGATGTTAGTACTGAAAGGTTAAGACACGCCCATTTGGTGAAACGATCTTGGAAAACCAGAAGATATTGGTATCACGCGGTGGATTCCTGCGCACTTGCGCCGGTAAAGATGCGAATGGAACTTCCGGGTGGTCCTGTGGTACTGCGACCTCCTCAGGGGACAGCTTCCTCATACGCACTTTTTAGACTTCACCCTTTTCTTGTATCCTATCAGACTATTTGTGAGATCAAAGTCACCCATGTAACGATTATATTCGTTAACTATTCTCGGGCATGGTACAGTAATGTTCTTCTTTTCATGCTTATCAAACCTCTTTACAGTATCATTAGGATTTTCTACACAGACACTGGAACATAATATTACTGACTTCGTATCCTTCCACAAAACAGCGGATACGGTCACATTATCAACCTGTGTTCTGAATTCGTAAGATGCGCTTTTTTCCTTTTTCAATTCTTTCTTGGTCGGTAGTGGGCATATTTCGTCTGGCCGTACCTACATTGTGTATTCCATTTTGTTCTAGATATGTAATCAATGGCAATGAGGTATAATAATTGTCAAAATACACGTGATGGAGGGCATTTTTACAATGGACATGTAAACTCCTACATATTTTCTTACATCGTTACCTTAATGTAGATTCGTTTTTGATTTACAATATGATTGATCATTTTGGTCTGTCAAAAAAAAAACTGAGGTGCATCGGATACCGTACAAACTTCTTCGCTTTCGATTTTCATGACGGCTTCTTGCTGTTATTTGACACCTGATATGACCATTGCTTTGCGATTATTAGACCCTTGGTCGCAAACTAGTACTTTGGGAACAAATGATAATATAATAAAATAATATAATAAACTGCAAAATTTACAAAGTTAATTAACATGTTATTTTACTTTTGATATTTAGAAGTACAAATTTACTTGTATAAGAATTCTCTATTCTTTATCCTTTTTAGTCCATACACATACATGCATACAGTATGTTCCTGTCAAAAATAAATACTTGGATTATCCCTACTACGTCCGGTCCCGTGGAGCACGGATGATCGGGGTTCTACTGTATTACCTACTATTATTAATGTTGAGGCGCTTCTCAGCATTGCAATTTCTGGAATGGTCTCCCCCTTTTCTCCGGACGTAACCACAGAGACGTTTCTTGACCTTTTCTGGGCTATAACATGACCAGGTCGAGAGGTCGGTTGTTCAGAGAAGGAGACCGACTCCATAAAATCAAGCCATTATTGGACATGTTACTGCGAAGGTGTCAAGAAATTTTTACCCCCGGACAACCATTTTGTATTGACAGTTCCTTATTCCATTGCAGGGAAGGTTGCTGTTACAGTACATAACTCAAAAGGCTCACAAGTACGGCGTCAAACTTTTTAAGTTATGTAGCGACTACCGGTACACTTGGAACATTGCAGTCAAAGGACAATATGACGGCAGTGATACTACAGTTCATTTAGTGTTTCTTAAATTATTTGGAAAAGTTAGTGAACTCTCATCGCATAATTGTAGCCAATAATTACTACTAGCAAATATCCTACTGGACAAAAAAACATTACCCTGGTACTCTCCGGGAAAATAGAAGAGAAAACCCAAAGGAAGTAATTCAAAAGGTGAGGTTTTTGGATTAGAAAATAGTAGGGGAATATATGTCATGAAATGGAAAGATAAACATGATGTTGTGAACTAAACATGTCACAGAAATTGTTGATATTGAGAAAAGTTCAGTAACAATACAAAAGCCCATAGCTATAATAGATTATAATGACGATATCAGATCAAATGGCAAGTTTTTTCAAATAATATACAACACGATTGACCGAATAGTGCAATATTACAAGATTTATAGATCTTTAATAAAAAAAGACCCTGAAGAACAAGAAGGCAATCAATATGTCACATTAGGGTGTTTTAGGGATGGTACACCGACAGACATATTGCAATTATTTTTGAAGCTTTTATTCGTCTATTCCTCAAAGAAACTGTATAGGAAGCTACCACATACTCGTACTATAAACTATGACATTATTGAAAATTCATTACTATACATACTATAGTTCGTTCACCCAACAGAAATAGTTAAGCCACTCCTACAAAATTTGGGCCAATGTAAGCAGCAACCAGTTTTACAACCACAAAATTATAAAAAGCGGAAAATTTGAAAAATCAAATTGAAATGTCACTTGTTCAAGACTAATTATGGCGCTATCTCTCTGAACATAACTCGTGGCAAAAATAGTAAAACCTGCAAACTGTTAAATACATGTAAATATGCAACATAAAAACACTGTTTATATTGAGAAAAGTACAAAAAAGTGTTATTACAGCAGCACAAAGTTTTGAAATTACAAGTGCACTTGAATATAAACAAAGGTACATAACAATTTAAATCCTGTATCGCTTCACTCGGATTCGGACTCCGTTGATGTCGGTACGATTGTTTCCTTTGCAATTTCATCAACTACATATTTTGGTGTAACAACTGCCCGTTTCACAAGCTGTAGAAGTTCAGCTCTTACCATATCTTCTTCGTAAGGTATCGATTTGCTTGTTAACCAAGTTTGTATATCAGCTTTTTTCGTACTGGTGTTTGGTATTTTTTCCCTTTTCCTGCTATGATATGAAGCGTTGTCCATTATAATCACAGATTGTTCATCAAGATGTGTAACGATTTCCATAAACCACTTTTCAAAAACTTCACTGGTCATTTCTTCGTATAATCCCCTGTTTTCTTCGATTCAAAACACTGCAAACCTTCCTCGACGAAGCTATCCTCGGACCCTATATGGAGAACAATAAGGCGATTTCCTTTGCCCGATGGATCTTTCAATCCAGTTGATAGCCCGTTGATAAATGCCTGTCTTGGAGTGAGATTGTGGTGTCCTTCCATACTTTGCTTACAGTATGCCCAGCATTTACCCAAGTTTCATCTAGGAAATACAACTTCCTACCTTCTTCACGATATTTTCTAATTTCACGCAAGAACCGACGCCTCCAAGTAATTATTTCGTCCTTTTCCCTAAGAACACTACTGCGTGACCTCTTTTCGAAGCTACAATGACAAGTACATAATATACATACACGTATAGAAAAAAGGTTTACTGACCGAAAACCTATTTCTTTTATTAATTTCCATAAAGTAGTTCGTTTCAAATGGGGTAAGTCTTCGTCTTCGTGTAACACTGCCAAAACTTTACTCAGGGTAGGTGGTTCATTTCTTTCAAAGAAAGAATGAAGCAAACGTCGAAGAATACTTTTAGTTCCGGAATCAATATTGTCCAAAATTGCTCGTGGTCGATAATATTTTTTAGGTGAATGAAGTTCGTGTACCTTTGTATACTCCCGAAGAATCTTGTAGACACTCGGAATGCTTACACCTAAATTACACAATAATAAGTAAAAATGAATGTGCCTAAGATGAAAATTACCTGCTGCTTTAGCCGTAAACTCAACTTTATCCGTTTTAGATACCTCCGGGTTGTCTTACGAATATGCCTTGAAGATATTTAAAATGCCAGTTTTGTCTTCAACTGAAAAGTGCTTGGCAGAACGTTTTTTTCGGTGGAGAGAAAGCAGCACCGGCGACATTCATGTTTGCGTACAACTTTTCTTGATCGCGAATAATATAACCCTAAAAACAGGCATGTAAAAATCGTGTATACAATTTTATAATTACTCACCTGACTATCTTTAGAATAAACCGACGAGTCTTTATAAAGACTATTTTGTGTGAATAAAGGAGATTAATGGCAAATTGACGCAAGTAAATATGCCTAAACGTAAAAACCGACAGAAACGCAATAGGCAAGATGACAGATTACCCAATTCGGCCAATTCGCTTTACAAGTGTGATTGTGGCTTCAAAAATTACACCAATAACAATGGCGTATTCAAATGTGACGGTAATTGTTGAGGAGGGGCTTAACTATTTCTGTTGGGTGAACGAAGTATAGTAGGGAATATTATTTTTAAGGAGATTGATGTTCAGGCGTACAAGGTATAAGACTAGAGATTTTGTTCAGTACGTATATGTAAAGGAAACAATTATCTCCAAAATATTAACGTTATTTATCCTGTCTGTGAAATTGATGACATGATAGGGTAAATTGGCCATAAACTCGTTTCCATCGAACTATTTGAATGTACAAACTGTAAATATTGTAAAATAGAACTCATAGCATTTTTAACTGTAACTGTATATATAGTTAATAATATAAGTAATCCTCATGAAGATGAAGCAAAGAAATATACGTCGCGGATTAATTATAAATATATAACATACCTACGTTTTTGTACAGCCAGTATGTCCGCAAAGTAAAGGATATACCAGACCTACTCCCATTACGTGCCACAATTTAATTTATGTATTAAGGGCATAATAGTGATGTTTATATTCTCGTGGGCGACTAGTTAAAAAGCTCGAGGGCCTATGGCCCGAGAGCTTTTTAGTCGCCCGAGAGTATAAACATCAGTTTATGCCCGTGGTACATACACAATTTTATGTTTTACAAATAGTTTTCTTCGTCAAAATTCGTTTACAAAATAATTCATTATGTTTGATCGAGTATGCGTTCGAATTTGTTAATGTGATTGAAACCATCCAAACGTCAAACGTAATTTTAAATAATTCGATTCATCGTGAATGAGCAAAAAGTTCCAGAAACTATACGAAATAAGGTCAATCTTATGATTTAGTAGGTATTGACAATTAATAATTGACGTTTCTAATTGTCAATGTCCTGCAAATATTTGTTTGTTTTGTCATTAAGTATAAATGCGTTACTATGGTGATACTTAATGCCCTAGGGCATAAAGTGGTACTTTATGCCCGCGTATCACAGATATAAAATGTGCTATAATAGGTTAGTAAGACATAAATAACTATTATATATTAAGAGCTGCGATTAGGTATATTGGAACTGCGAATGGTCCCGAAAAAGACACTTCATTGCTTTTTGTGACCGACTAAGCAATTTAATGGAAGGAATATAATTAAAAAACAAGGAAGAAAATATTGTAGCGGCAAAAGAACTGAAAATTGTGACCACTATATATGCATATTGCAGCCCGACCTATATATAGCATATGGTAAACACTGCATAATGATAGGTGCACAACGAGGTTGTATACGATAAGGATCTCACAACATAGGGCTTCGGATTTTGTATTTAAATGATTTTAAAGGGTATAATTTTAAATCAGGAGAGAGGGCATTGTATAGAAGTTATGTTGTAGGAGAAAGATTAGGGCTTTTAAGTTTCCGTGTGCTTTACGTATACACATATTAATAGGCTCACGAAATCGCAGTTCATTATCCATATGTAAACCTAAATTTCTTCCTACACGATTTATTGGTATATGCACATCGTTAATATGTAGTTTTAGCTGAGTACACTCATAATTACCAAAGACTAATGCACTATAGTCCAGGCTATATAATATTTTTGTATGAAAAAAATTAGTTACCGGGCGAAACCGGGTTTTTCAGGCAGGTGGAATGAATAGAAATTGGGAAAAAATAATTAAAACAGCTGAATTTTTCCGCGGGTGAAATCACGGGGGTTGAAAGGGGTGGAAAGTGGTATTTTGCAAATTGTGGTAAACGACGACGAAAATGTTAAATGTAAAAGTTATAGAGATTAAAAAAATGAGCAACTTTTGTATCTGCACTATTTTCACATAACCTCAAATTTTCCTACAAAAACCCGAAACACTGTTTTTTTCATTTTTTATTCTTATTTTTGCGAAAAAATGTGTAGGGGTTTGAAATTTGGAGATAACATAGCCTGTTTTATGATAAAACAGAACATAACTGTTTGGGCCCATAAAGTTGAACCGTTTCCAAGATCTCACGATTTCTGAAAAAAAAAACACCTCTTTTTCAAGGGGATGAAAAATCTATTTTTTTTCATCGTACAGAGGTGCACGGGGTAGCAAAATTTTCGGGAAGACTTATATTCTAATAAACAAAAATAAAAAAATATTATTCCTATAGCAAAAATTCGAGAAAATCGCCAAAAACTGGAATATACACGGTTTTTGACATGATAAATCAACATGTTGGATGTTAATAAAGATTTTTTCGAAATCTGTCTTCCTCCTTCTCTTTAATGTTTGCCTAAATATTCTCTTTTGTTATCTTATGCTCAACTGTTTTAGTTAAAACATCTTTATTATTTCTTTTTTCTGCATTTTACCGCAATAAAAGCAATTCGAAATAAAATCGAATTATGTATCTTGCTTCCTGATTCTTGAACAATTTATTTTTGTTCACTGACTTTTCTTCCTGCTTGTTTTATAGCTGATGCAATGGGGGTTTACAGTATAGTTCAGTGGTATTCAACCGGTGGTACGCGTACCCCCAGGGGTACGCAGAGCCTACTCTGAGGGTACGCGGTATGAGGGTGTAAAATGAACACGATCTGCATGAATCGCTTCCAAGGAATTTATTTTTGAACCTATATCTACATTCTACATTTCTACAATCTACAATTCTACACTATATGAACAAATTATTCTTTGCGCAAATTTTAAGTGATTTAGCTTTAGCCTTTAGCGCTTCACTTGCGTCACCCGACGAGCCGCCGTGTATTAGGGGTAACGATATTGGCCGGAAAGAGCCGACGTTATTCTTTCTTTGTTGTATTGAAAGACTGCAATAGTGCAATCTCAACCCTATTAGTATTGAGTTATATTCAGGTGTAACGCGAATGTGCTGAGTTTAAGCCAACCGTTGCCGCGTATTTCCAACTACGTACCTGTGCGAACAAGGCTTCACTAACATCGATCAAAACCAAAGTTAGAAATCGCATAAATCCAGAGTCAGGCCTCATTCTTGCCCTTACTAATGTTCGACCGAGAATTAAAATTTTGGCCTCCAAGAAACAGGCGCAGGCATCTCACTAAAAATGTACTTACCAAATTGTTTCTAAAGTTTTTTTAGCACTAATGATATGTTTCGCATATTTATGTTTTTTGTACTTATAATTTTTTTGTTTTTATTAAATGTGCGTGGGGGTACACAATTTAAGTAACTTATTTTTGGGGGTACACAAAGAAAAAAGGTTGAATACCACTGGTATAGTTGAATTCCGCAGTTCTAATTTAATAAGCGTGTACCTGAAACCATAAAACATTTTTTTGGACAGTAAAAGTTTATTTAAAAATAGAGGCTGATTAGCAAAAAAATAATAAACGTGCGGTTTTAAAGGTTTATTCAAAACGATATGATTGTGGCGGGCTCTGTGACGTAATAGGCCCGACCAATCAGCTCCTAGAACTATTCAGATGACATAACGACTTGGCAATATTGCAGGAGAATGGCATTTATAACTTGCGTCATCTGTCACAGGCACTTGTCACTTTCGTGCTAGATGCAGTTAAACCACAGCCGTCTATAATTACAAGCCGTGCTGAGAATTATGGCAACACTGCATGGTAGGCCGATTTCCTAATTCAACTTGACAGATTTTGGGTGTATTTTATATGTGTTTTGGGTGTAATATTCCAATTTACCTGTTTTAACAGAGCGAGATTGCGACAATTTGTGTTACTCCGTACGGAATGAACAGAAGTTATTATTCAGGTATGTTGCTAAACGAAATATATCGATTTGTTGTCATAACCTCTAAAGCAGGCTACTCGTTACTGGACCCTTTAAAAGCACTTGTATTTGTTCAAAGTACCTGTACAAGCTCAAATATGACCTACACACTACGTGGTGCGTAAGTACGGTAAGTGTTTATCGTGAAAAAATGCAATTAGTTTGTATTTCAGGTATTCTAGCACGGACATGTCAAATCGATTTTCTGAAGGAACCTTTCAACTCATTCCCAAGAGTTCATGGTACGGGAATTTGAAGTCTACAGGGCTCCCCTCTTTAAAAGCTTCGTACCTACACCCACTGGAGTAGCGGCTGGCTTAAAGTCTGCCATTTCGAATCACACCTGGTCGTTGCTAAAACCTCGCTGATGCGCAGCGATTTACTGTCCTTTTACCGAAATTAAGTGCTCAAGCGTGTGCTTCACCTCGACCTGTTTCGACAGAAGTTCACCAATTTCGGAGATCTCGATGGAAAACGCATTATGATGCAGTTACCAATTTACAGCATTCCGAATTTTAAAGTCAAATAAAAATGTTATTATCCATTTTTGTAAATAAACAATATATATGCACAATTTATTGTAAGCTGCCTAAGTATCTTTCTTCTATATTAAAACCGCCAAGGCGAAACACAGGAGAGAGGAAAATGCCATTTTTCAAGAGCAACAAGACGCCATTAAAACTTAATCGGCCCACCGATTGACTTTCGAACAACGTTGCCAAACTTCTCAGCATGGCTTGTAATTATAGACGGCTGTGATGCAGTTAAACATCCCTCTCAAAACGTCAAATGTGACAAACGTCAAACCCTTGCGTAAGGTTGCCAGCTCACTTCTACGTGATTGGTTGTAGGTTTGTGACGTATTTAGTCTGAAGCGTTTCAAATTCGGACTAAAAACACAGCTTTTCAATAATTTATTTTGGGTTTATTTTACTCGCAAATAAAAATTGAGGACACACGGGTCTTTTTATTTTTAATGTACTTTGTGGATCAGAAATAAAAAATGAAGGCGGGATGACCCCATTGCGTTGGGCGTGTTGATAAACTTGCAAAATTTGCAATAAGAACGTTGGTTTTACCGGTCAAAGCAAATGATTTGAGATGTCAAACCTGCAGGAATAAATTTATAAGGATTTTATTCATAATTCCTGTAAATTAACGATCAACAGGCCCAGCTTAATCCCATCAGCTGTAAAACAGGCAGGAAGAAGAGTTAGTGAACAAAAACATATTGTTCAGGAAGCAAAAGAATTCGATTTTACTTCGAATTGCTTTTATTGCAGTAAAAATGCGCAGAAAAAAGAAATAATAAAGATGTTTTAATTAAGGCAGTTGGGCACTGGGAAACAAAAGAAAATATTTTAGCAACATTAAAGAGGAGAGAGAAGACAGATTTCCAAAACTTTTTATTAGCGCGGATCCAACACGTTAATTTATTTGCAAAAAAGCCTATTTACCTACTGTCAAAAACGGTGTATCTTAAAACTGTTCCCCCGTTTTTGCCGCTTTTCTTGAAATTTTTCTATTGGAATAATATTTTTTATTTTTGATTATTAAAATGTAAGTCGTTACGAAAATTTTGCTACCCCGCGCACCTCTGTACGATGAAAAAAAATAGATTTTTCATCCCCTTGAAAAAGAGGTGATTTTTTACAGAAATCGTGAGATCTTGGAAACGGTTCAACTTTATGGGCCCAAACAATTATCTTCTGTTTTATCATAAAACAGGCTATGTTACCTCCAAATTTCAAACCCCTACGACATTTTTTCCGGTTTTTCTAGGAAAAGATTATGTGAAAATAGTGCAGATACAAAAGTTGCTCATTTTTTTAATCTCTATAACTTTTACATTTAACATTTTTGTCTAAAATCAATAGTTTTGCCACAATTTGCAAAATACCACTTTCCACCCCTTTCAACCCCCGTGATTTCACCCGCGGAAAAATTCAGCTGTTTTAATTATTTTTTCCCAATTTCTATTCATTTCACCTGCCTGAAAAACCCGGTTTCGCCCGGTAACTAATTTTTTTTTTAATAAATCATTTTAGAGCTATTTAGCCTGGACTACTAGATTTATTTGGGTATATCATTAAGTTATGATCTTTAAAGGCTTTGTACAACATATTAAGGTCTTCATTAATTTTAATATGTAATAAATATAATAATAATAAATAATGAGTATCATCAGCATAAAGATGGTAGCGACAAGATTTCAAAAGTTTATGTAATTGGCTTGTATATATTGTATACAATAATGGACCTATAATTGATCCCTGAGGAACTCCTGTTTTTACATTTATCAAATCCGAAACCTTACCATGTCCTAACTTAACCATTTGATACCTATCACTGAGAAAACTATTAATTAGTCCAACGGCGTCCATCCCAATACCTATATGAGAAAGTATAGTTAAAAGCAATTTATGGTTGATATATCAAATGCTTTGCTATAGTCGAGTAGCACCAGTACTGCAATATCACCTTTGTCTAAAGCACATAAAATGTCGTCTGTAACACCCTTTAACGGGCAGAACTCAAGGGGTTGTTTTATTTCTTTATGTATTTTTTAATATTCACAGGTTCCTATAACTAAATATATCTTACATAAGTCAAATTTTCAATTAGTTTTTGAAAAATAGGGTGGTACAAATACTTACCAAAGAACGTTCCTGAAAAAATATTACAGTGCGTGTTGAGTGGTACAAATATGAACCACCTGTTTGTTAATGACAATAACTAGTAGAAAAACTATTTATTATTTATAAAATAGAACTCAATACATATTTGTACTTAAAAAAACTAAACAAAGTTCTTAGCAGTTGTAAATGGTTACTAAAAATGGCGATGTTGGTAATAAAGAACTAAAATATAAACTGAATAAGTCAATTCGTATGAAAAGGAATAAAACATTTTAGACATAATGCAACATTACAATCAGAACAAATTATGTTGGATCTTTGATCTTTTCGAGTGCTGCAGTGACAGCAGCGTTGACGCAATCCTTGCATGGGAAGATGTTTTCCAACATTGGTCAATCTCTGAGCGTTATATAATGTAGGCCTTCCTTGTGGATTGTTTCTTTTCTTTGAACGTCCAGATAAAGAATTTGGGCCTGGTTTGATTCTGCTACAAAATGTTCCTATAAGTTCAGATGCCAAATAGGATCTGAAGTTTAGGTGGGTCATTGGTTTTACTTTATTTCTGGCTGACTGTGACAAGGTTGTTTTATAAATTATGTAACTATTTACGATGCAAGACTCCACGCAGTAGTAAAAAATTCTTAACCACCACCGTCTACTTTTCCATGAGATACTATATCCAGATAATAATTGGTCGAAATGGTCCACTCCACCCATATACTTGTTGTAGTCTGCCACAGATTCTGGACAATTCACTAGTTCCCTATTTCCCGTCTTCTGTGTTCTTAGTACTTTGGCAGTTTTGAGTGGGTTGTGTATTGTGCTAAGGACACTGACACATTTTTTACCTCGATCTTTATAACAGTGGGTCTGGCTTGGCGCTGCTTTTAACAAAACCCGCCGCATAAACGGCCAGCTAAGCTCAGTGTTTTTGAATATGGAAGCAAGAGAATGTTCAAAGCAGTAAAGTTCGTTCTGGGCAAGACAATCTCCGTGCGATATGGTTGAGCGCCACCCAATTTCTAATGTACACTATCAACTCACCCTGCATAAAATTGGGAAGATACAGGATGCACAATAACCATAAATGCAAATCAAACGGCTCTATATTGCTGGTTGCTTTCAAATAAATTGCAAAATAATATAGATATATATGTGAAATTACACACTGCACAAATCATAAAAAAAAAACCCAATTAATTCCCAACAATTATACTCCAGTTCAAAAATGATTGCCCCCAATTACTGTTCCTTAATGATCGTTAAGATTAATAAATGAATCACACATATAAATTACAAAATGGTTACGTTACTACCGGTCACAACTAGTAACGAAAATATCCCAACGCAAGTTCGGTAACAACAAGGCAAATAGAATATAACGCTTACCTTATGTAATATTCCAGATGTGAGGCAGCAAAGAGAGCTCTGTTTGCACCATTCATCTCTGCAATCAAAAGAGAACAAAAAGGCCCAAACCACAGGGTTCGGAATATATTATGAATAAATGTCTGAAGGACCTACGAAGCTTGCGGTAAGCTCAAATCTCGATACCCCTCTAAAAATGTCTGTGTCTCTGATGGAGTGTCGCAGCCACACAAAAATTAATATATCCGATCAAGCAAAAAAAAAGGCATTCTCGATCATGTCGAAACAGTATGTAGTTAAATGAGTTTCTCCCTCGTCTTCATAAAATGGCCGCTCTTATCTCTCTCAGATAAGGTTGTTGGTCACGACCTCCTAGGTGTCTATGGTTGATAATGAATCTCCAAAATTTTCCCCCAATCAACAGGTGATCTCGAACAAGATATTTCCCCCGAACAAGGAATTTCGGTATCGAACAAGGACCCTAAAATAGTTTAAGCTAAAACTTCCTACACACACACATGTAAAATTCGTTACCTCTAAGTAAATTTAAGAGGAATTAAATACCAAGCGTTCCTCAATTACACATCTTCCAGTATATCCGTAATCTACAATGGCCGCCATAAGAAAAGAAATTATTTAGATAAGCGTACTTACTCGAAGAAAAAAGTTTCACGTTAAAGCCCGATGAACGGTAAAATGCTGCAGACTACTTGTCTCGCAATTAATACGGGTAGAATTGCCAAAGTTTTTAACTAACAGTGGTGGCAAAGATTACCCACGTGTTTTTCTTTTCTCACGCAGAACGGCTTAGTTGTTCGTTCGATCAGAGTCGGAATCGGAAAGAAAAAGCATGTACAATTTTGGATCGCGCTGTAAGGTCCTGCCACCTGGCGGAACTAATCCAACGCATAGAAGTAGAAATTTATATACAGGGCGTACCGAATGTAAAATACGGAATGATGCAAAGAAGAAATGAACTTGTTACATCTTTTCATTTGGAAACGGCAACATTCCCGTCAATAACTCCATCACATTCTCCACTTTTCATGAAAAAGTTCTTGCGCAAAAGTTTTCTGGACATTATTATAGATGAAAAAAAATTATCAAAGAAAAGGCAGTAACCAAAACCTTCTACAAAAGCTGATAATTTGTTTATAACTCTCTCACCAAGAGATGTACCTTTATCAACATTTGGTTCTGCTCCTTCGTATACGGCCATTCCCAAGCAGTACCCTGTAACAGCACATGCTATTACCCAAACTTAGAAACCCCGTTTGATGGGTTTCATGGGCATGTACTGTTTCAGAGTACTGCGGCCCTTGAACACCAAAATTACTTTCCTTACTCCAGTAATGTCTAATGCTGGGAAGTGTATGAAAACCCATTATTATTAGTATACCTAAGTAGGCTTTCAATTCATCTAATGTCAATCCTAACACTGTACCTCTTTGTATGGCGTACAAGTTAGACTGGTCAACAATATACTGCAGGAATAAATTTGTCATTACATTGAGGAAAATGCTTAGTGGATTTGTAATATCAAACTGGGCTTTCTTAGATATTCCGAAAGGTCTGTCAAATGTACTTCCTTGAAACATGGGCGGTTTTGCTGAAATTTTTTGCCAATCAAAAGTTTCATCATCAGCAGAAAGACAACCTTCACTTGACTCACTATCTTCATTATCACTGTCTTCAAATTGATTGCTGAATGAAGTTGAAGTACTTGGAGCAATTGAACATCTGGACGAAGGAATATTATCGTCAGCATCATCATCACCTCCAACATCAGAGTCTACAGCCATATCGTCGTTGATTGTAGAGAGCAAAAATTCAACATCTCGAGGATTTGATAAATTATAAAACTTTTTCGTGTCCATCTAAAAATTAATTAACTGGTATAAATTCACAACTAATAAATGTAAGTACCATATTATATTATTACTAAAATACGCGAATATAGTAGACAAATTTGCAAGAAAAAATCATTAACAAATTTTCAGTTAGTTCACAGAGGTACATATTTGTACCACATTTTTTTTCACGAAATATTATCTAAGCCAATAGATAAATAAAATTGCCAATCCAACTCAAGGTTTATTCTCACAGTGTCTCTATTGAGAGGTACACCACTGATCTGAATTTTGAAACATTTATAATACGAAGCTTGTGACTATTTTATATCCAGCAAATTTATGAGAAATATAACCTAAAATACAGTCTATACAAACTATTCTAGATAAAGCAGATACATTCTAGATATAATCCGAAAAACTAACTGGTAAAGTATTTAGCTCATATGTACATACCTTTTATTGCCCACTATTGAGACCCAAACTATTAAAAAAAACACCTTCCCGCTAAAATTTGTTGACAGAACGCGCACTGGTTCACATATTGTACCACATATTGAGCCTACTACAGGCTTATTGCACTAGACGGCAGCACCTCCCAAATGTGGTATAAGTATGTGCCAATAACCGTTTACTGAGCAGGTAACGACCATAAGGTCGAACGTTAATGGCGTTTTTGTAGAAATGTAGCTCGTAAATGCAAGTGGTACAAATATGAACCACAAACCCTTAAAGGGTTAAGCAAGGCAGTACAACTGTGATTTTGTCTAAACCCAGACTGCATAGCAGGTAAAGTATCATGATCAATAACAAATTTCCTAAGCTGACTTTCTAGACATCTTTTCAGTACTTTAGACAATACTGCTAATATACTAATCGGGCGATATATATATATAGCACCACTTCGTCTTAAAGTGTCCAGTTTACTTTTCAGGATGTCCAGATCACGAAATTCTGCTACTTTTCGCGGTACACCACCAATGGTATGCGTATCAGCCGGCTGAGAAACGCACTTTCCTTTCCTGTATCCCAAAAAAGCATCTCGTTCCAACATCAACAGGAGCTAATTGAGCATATTTTTTATAAATGTCGTAAGGATTCAAAGACTCATTTGCATCAGGAATAATAAACGATCTAGAAGTAAGCGTGAGATTAGCGTAAGTAATTCATCTCGGCGACAACTACCATACAGTCCAACGATAAGGACAACTTTGTAGAGCAAGAAATCATCCGAAGCTTCAAAAATAAATTGGCGGGTGTCCTCAACAGACAAAATCTTAGATGTCTTCGGTACATAATTAACATTTTGAGTTTTCATGAACGCGATAACCTATCCAAATCTATAAAACCAATTAAATTAGGTACAAGTGCGGTGATTATTATTCTCACAACAAACCTAGATACTTATATCAACATTGCCATTAACGATGAGAGCTTTCTTCAGCATTGAAAGTTTAGACTTGATGCATTGAAGACTTTTGATAAACTAGAAACGTACGCCAACACAACGGTCTCGTTCGAGACCATTTCGCCGACTCTATTTGCTCTCCATTCGTTAAATGCTGTCAGCTCTTTTCATACCGGTTTCGTGATTTCGCGTGATGTCGTGGAATCGCGGTCAACACATTATAAAAAAAAATTTGAAAGTTATTTACTCGATGTCTCCTAAGAATATTTCAACTTTTAAACACTTATTAGCAGCAAAAGATTGGGGAGATGTCTTTAGTTCCTTAGATGTAAATGATACGTTCACCTCTTTCAGGAATGCTGAAACTATTACAATAATGTATGCGTTAACCAGATTAATATCAATGCAACAACTCATTATAAGTCATGGTTGTCAAAATGCATAAAGGTATCATCAAAAAGGCTAAAAGATCTCTTTGTAGAAATGAGAAGCGGTAATGTGAGTGTGTGGTTACATAAACATTACCTGAAATTTGCCAAAATTTGTATAACTTTATTGCAGTAAATGTTGGGGCGTATGGAAAAAATTCTGACGGCTGTATTTTGTTAAATTCTAATTTAGGGAAGTCATTAGAAAACAGCACCCTCAACATTCTAAAGACAAAAACTTTATCACGAACTGATACTGAACTACCTATGGTTATTGTGGCTGATGAGGCATTCCCTCTTAAAACATATATGATGAGACCATATCCTGGGAGAGATTTGACTGAGGACAAAAGAATATACAACTATCGTTTGAGTCGGGCAAGAAGAATGTCGGAAAATTTTTTGGCATTTTGCAACAAAAGTTTCGTATATTCAGTAGAAGACTTCAAGGAAAACCTGACAGTTGTTGTTATGGCCGCATGCGTCTTGTACAATTTTATTCGAAAAAATGAAGACTCCATGCTACCTGAACTCTTGCAAAATGAAGGTAATGACAGATCTGAGAGACCGTCAAACTTAAAGAATCTAGCTCGCATTCGTGGGAGATCAACAAATGCAGCATTTGATGTTGGAGAACAGTTGAAAACTTTTTTCACATCTGCAGAAGGTAGCGTAGACTGGCAAGAGAGAACAGCCCTGGCAGTTTGAATATTTGAAAAATGGAATAAGTTGAATAGGTTTTTCTGTGGGTGGTGTAAATATAGTTAAGAACTAATTTAGTGAAAAATCGACATTTTCTACTAACTTAATGTAGAGATCAAAAGCAAATGAATAAACTAAAAATGTATCATTAATATATGAATTTTGCCTTACCTTTTACATTTAATTCCATGGCAATTTTCTTCCACACCCTTTCCTTATATTCTACATACCTGTATTTTTCATCGCGTTGTTCGTAAAGTGCGGGATATTTCCTCGCTTCTTCTATGAGCTTCTCGATTTCCATTTTGCTAGCTGGTATATTTAGCTTGGTAAATCTGACGGTTCTGAAGAATCAATTTCCTTAGGTTTTCTATATTTTTTCGACAGAGCGGTGAATTGCCTGTAACATTTCGAATGATACTTGCTCACAGATGCAATGTTTTCGGGCAATCTCACATCACTCATTGACAAATCATTTTCTTTTCGAATTTTCAACACTGTTTGACACTTGTTTAATGTATCATTGGTGAATGAAATTAACGGTTCACTCTTTTTCAAGCAAATAACACAGAAAGGCTTTGGAGTTGTCCCGTAAACAGCGCAGTCTGTACTGTCTCACTGTCACTGTGCCTCACTGGCTTTAGCCGTAAACAGCAGATGCTCCGAAAGTAGGAGGGGAGGGACCAGGTAGTAAAATGACTAGAAATATAGCCCGTACTGAAACATTCTATTCCTACTATTCGTTCTGAAAATATCGATTGTGAATTTGAACACTGAGCAATTGATATTCTTTTAAAGGAAATGGATATGTATTTTATGATATGCATTAAAAGACTGCGAATGTCAAATTCCAAGACTGGAACAGGATAGTCGACCGGAGAACGCGCAAAAGGAACCAGTGACTATTCCGCCGTCGGCGGCTACCGTCGCTCGGTCGCCAACACCGAACCGTACCTTTAGATTACGCAGTTAGGTTTTTCCACGTATCCGACTAGACATGGTATCACTGATTGCAAGAGATAAATTAATGCGCGCGTTATTAATTTTGTTAACCTTCCGTTAGTGTCGCCCGGTTTCTGAGACCGCAGAAAACGTCAATCGTGTATAAATTCGAAGTTTGGCCGAGTATGAGTCTCGGAAGTCTAAAACTTTTTCTAGAGGCAATATAAAACGCTTTATGGTGGGAAGCACCCAACGAAAAGTATATGTTACTGAAAGTATGATAGGAACTGCGGACGGTTACCGCCGAGAGGAATTGTATAATATAAAACTGGAAGATGTAAAGGACCTGGATACACAATTAATACCTACAATTACATTATGATGACGAAACTGACAAGAACAGTGGAAATTTCAAGAAGAATCGCAATAATTCCGATTTCTCACAGCCCATATAAGGGTTACGGTATAAGTCCTGGATGTAAGAGATTTCCACTGAACAGGTGAGGTATCCGACTTAATTATAGTTATCTCTTTTATTACCGGGTCTTAAATAAACAATAAAATAAACATCTGTTCTTGTCATCTGTAATTAATATAGATTGTTGAAGGGTTGAGTGGTAGAGCAGACGGTGTTATCTTGGTAGCTCCAGTCTGAACTCCGCTCTATTAAGTTGTCCCTTTTTTTATATAAATTTTTTTATATAAACTGTCGTACATAACTCAATAAATGTCATTATTATTATTATGGTCGGTGTTTCTTGTGAGAACTCAGGTCTAGCCTGGTTAACTAATCGCACGGATTAAAATCAAGTAACGATTAGTGCCTGTGTCTGTACGCCGCTCGTCTGGTGAAGTTATGTCGGGTCCTAAAAAAAAAAAAATTCACACGCGCATTGGAGATCTAGGGATAGTATGTAATTGATACTTACCAACATCCATGAATTGATGGGCACAATAGCCAACGCTATCAGGAAAGAGGAAAACAAAACACCAAAATAATTATAATAATTCCTGTAAGTTTAGCAATTTTATTAAATGGAGTTTATTGTGTAAGTCAGGGGTTCCCAAACTTTTTCAGTTCGCGGGGCACTTACAGGTTTAGTAATTGGCCTCGGCGCCCTACTTAGCCGAAATATAGTGCAATTACACAAGGCGGGCTACGAAAATAAAACAAACGTAAATTGAGGATGACAATGTTAATGTTAATCCTCAATCTTCGATGTGACGTGTGAGCTTGATGACTTCCACATATCTTTTCAAAGCGTGGAATCAGACTTGAAACTGCCACTCTCATTTCTTGTTCAACATTGATTTTTGAACGATATTTGCTCTTTATTACAGCTACAGCCGAAAATCCTGCTTCACATAAATAGGACGTTGCAAACGGAATGAAAATTCTGATGGATTTTGAACTTAAGAGCTGGATGTTCATGGATGGACAGCAGCACGGGCTGAGCAGCTGGGCTATCACATTCGCCGCGAATACACCATACTCAACGAGAACGTAGGGCGAGCCTGATGAAGCCCGCTTAGCGTACTCTAGTGACCCAGGGGTGACCGGCTTTATGGCTCAGTG